GGTTCAGAAGCCCGAGCAGCTCTGGGGCAGGCACCTCCTCAGCCTTCTTTTCTCACCCCATACTCTGCCCTTAGGAGTTATGGTTACAAAAAAAAGGGGGCAGGAGGAACAGCAAAGAGCAGACAGTGCCAGGCTCCTGCAGAACTGCAAGAACAGCAGCAAAGACAGCCAGTAATGTGCCCCTGCAGGGGAAGACTCGACGACCACCTTCACCTCAGCATACAACAGAACATCAACTGATACCCATGAAATGCTGTGTAGGCCAATGCTGGGACACCAAAGGCTTTGGTAAGATTCACAGAGTGATTTGGCCTGGTATTTGCATGTTCTTCTGAGTAGCACATACCTTAAAACAGGTCTTGACAGGCGTGCAGTGATGCACATGGAAAGCAAACCTGAAGTAAGGCCCTGCTTGTGTGTCCCACTCACTTCAGGGTCTCACTGGAGTCTGCACAGCCACATAAATCCAGTTTCTGTCCCAAAATAAACTAGGGCAGGACAGCATCAAGATTTCAGACTCATCCTTCATTTTGGAGGGAAGGCAGACAGAAGTGAGGAAAAACTCCTCAAATCAACCCTAAAACAAGTTCTTTAAGCAATTTTTGCACTGAGCTGGAAGGCATCGGCTGCTGGTATCAGGAGCTGGTTGCTTTTCAGCCCAAGCTGAAAAAGCCAGATTGGTAGGAACTCAACATCTCCCAATCTCTCTGTAACCTTTCGAAAGCTCCGAAAAGAACAGAAAACACCAATTATCTCTGAGAGGTCGATCCCAGCCTCTGCAGGATGGCTCCTGGGGCACAGGAGAGCCTAAAAGGTGATCCCTGCACAGGCAGGCCAAGCTGACAGAGCAGAATCAACCAACAGAAACCTCCTTTTAGTTACCTGAGAAAGTTCCAACTCTTTTTTTTTGGTTATGCTTTAGAATGGAGCCTATACTGGACTGAGAGCAACTGCCACTGTCACCACCACCATCCCCAGAGCTGTTCAAATGGTGAGCAGTGAGTTTATGGTTGCTGGATTTCTTTCTGTCCTACCTCTCTTCTGGAGTCAAGCTCTGGTGAAAGTACTGGGCTCAGTGCTGTAACAGTAAAGACTTAGAGCAGCTGTCACTAAAAATCGTTGGTCCTGTTCTCAGTTTTCAATTCAGAAAAGGCTTAGAGGGCTTTGATGACTCTAACATCTGAGAAACCCTTCTAGGAGCAGAGCTGACGAGGCTGTACTTGAAGTATGGCATCCCGATGCATTAGGACAGTGAAAAGATGCTCTACGTGCAAGCATCTATGGCAACTGCCAGCTCCTCACCAAATCCCGCTGATCCTCCTGCACCAAGTCCATCTTGTGCACCAGACAGAAGATCTTGGCATCAGGAGAGTTCTGCAGAATGGCCTCCAAGCAGGACTGGTAGTAGTGCATGTCCTTCTCCAGCTCACGGCTCTCCACATCGAAGACATAGATGAGGACTTCCACGTTGCGGAAGATGTTGTCACGCTGACTGGTGAAGTAGTTCTCCATGAAGGTGTCCTGGCTGAGAAGGAGCAGAGCAACAGAGCAAGGAGACTTCCATTAGAGCAGCCAGATCGTGCTTAGCTCCTGCTAGAAAGGCAGAGCTAGAGATTCAATCACAGCAGCCCTACAGGTGGCCAAATTCCCCATGACATCCAGCTCCCTCAGTATTTCCAAGCAAAGCTGGATGCTCCTGAGAAGTGTCTGCTGCTGGGCTCACAGCTGCCTGCTCAGTGTCCTGTGCAAACAGAGCTGCCTTACTTCTGGACCCAGACTGGCTTTTGGAGAGTTGCATAGTAAAAAGCCACAGCAGCAGAAGCTAAAATATAACCAAAGCCATCAGGGTAGCCTCTTACTGTAGGATTTCCACCTCCTTTAACTCTGAATATGGCTCAGGCGGTGCATGAGGACAGGAAAGCTGATGGAGCAGAGGCCCTGTCAGCGGGACAGTGTTCTTAGAAAAGCTGCTTCCAGGGTCACAGGGTCCCTGTCAGCCCTCAGCGTCTCTTCTCAGCGCACACCCCACTTGGATCAGGCAATCCCGAAACCAGCGTCACCTCCCACCACCACAGCACAAAGCCCAGGTGAAGGGCTCGGGCTTTTTGCCCACAGAAGTGAGCAGGCAGCAAGGGAAGGATGAACCTACGTGCTGCTCATTTTTTATGTAGGGATAACTCCAGAGACAGCGTAATTGCGCCAACCTCTTCCACCCACAAGCCTCAGATGTGGCTCCACTCCTCCCAGAGCCGTCTCACCAGTTTCACACTGACTCTGCTCCTTTCCTACAGGGCAGCATGCTCGTCCCTCCGAGACAGGGGGGCTCCGTTCTGTTACCTCCCCAGCCTTATCCCCCAGAGCTAAGTTTCAAAAGCAGAAGAATAAACAGTACCTACCCTCCGCAGTCCCAGAGGTTCAGCACCAGGTTTCCAAGGAATCTGACATGGGAGTGCTCCACATCAACTGCAAAGAGACACCAGGAGTTTAACAGCAGCACTGCACACCCAGGTCACAGCCGCCTCCTCGCTGTTCTTCACAACACAGCCCATGATCTGTGAAATCCCACTCCAATAACGCTGCTGCGGGTAAATCTGAAGGCGTTACGGGAAAAGACATTTCCCAGAGTAATCCAAGCCCAGGACACTGCTCTCCTGAGATAGGCAGCAGGGGGGACCTCTCTAACAACACGTTCTCTGATCTTTGTGGTATTTTAAGCATCAGTCCCACCACACTCTGCAAGGTCTTAAGCAAGCCTTAAAAATAAATTCGGAACATAAAGAATGTAAACTTTGAGGAGGCCAAACTTATGGCAAAGAGGAAATGTACACCATTAAGTCCTTGCAGGCGCTTCCCAGCGAGGAGTGTCAGATCCCGACAACTCCCAGCCCTGTTTTAGAGGGGTCTCTTATGGCTTTTTCAGATCAGTGGCTTTGGGGACAAAAAAAAGAGGCGGAAGACACACATTAAGCCTCGTGCCTCATCCTGCCAAAGCTGCAGGGGCATGGCAAGATCGCTGCGTCTCCACGATTCACCAGCTGAATCCAACGGGAAAGCTTTCCCAATAAGGAGGCTCTGAACACGTCTCCAATAACAGGTGCAGCAGCAGCAGCAAAGGCTGCTTCCTGATCAAAACAAGAGGGATAAGAATTCCACAATAAAGCAGCAAAAGTGAACCCAGCGCTGCCCTCCCTCTCACTCCAGCTTCCCACCTGCCCTCAGCTGAACTCAGGAGCGAGGATCCCCGAGCGGTGTGGCAGCTGGGAGGACCACAGACACCCACCCAGCCCAGAGAGGCAGGGATTGCTGGAGGGAATGGCCTCACCCCAATAATGACAGGGGTTTGAGTCCCAAATGTGCAGTTCAAACAACAGAGGCCTTACTTGTGGCACCCAGGCGCCGCGTGTCCCTGGCGATGTAGTTTGCAAAGATTATGGACCTCATGCTGGTCTTCCCAGACCCACTTTTACCCATCAGCAGCACCTGAGAAAGAAAATAAAGCAAGCATTGGCTACCACAGAGCACCAAGTCCTCCACGGCTCCCTCAGGGTCAACTCCTTACTGTGGGATCCACCAGAGCTCATCTCAAGCTTTAAGACCAGGCTGGAAACAATCCCACTCAGCACTGGTCTTCTGCACCCACTACTTCTCTCCTAATCTCAGTTTTTTCTTTATCATGACTTGTTTTCCCCAGCAGAAGTAAAATACAAGTCACATTTCAAGTGAGAGGGGACCTGCAGATTGTCAGGGCACGGGAGAGCCCAAAACCCGATGATGATTTGGGAAAGAAGGGAGACAGTCACACAGGGCAAGGCTCTACATTGTGATCTAAAAATACAAATTAAAAAACCCCAACGGCGACGGCCGACCCGAGCTTGCTCACAAAAAACAGCTGCCAAACAAGTTCCAGTTACAAAGTCAAACTCAGCCTTTGGCAGCAGCTCGGAAAATCCATCATCAAGGAGAGGTTGAACGCAAGCGCAACCGGCCCCAGTCCACCTGCCCAGCTCGCACCAGTGCCAAACGCCAGCTGGGAAGGCGCTCGCCCCGGTCCCAACCTTGCTCCGCG